TTTTAAGAGATTTGATTGGCCAATTCACTATAACAAAAGTATTTTTATTATATTTGTTTAAAAAATTCGTTATATCAAGAGTTCACTATATTAAGAGTTAACTATACTGCCCTTTTAAATATCAGTGCTGATAGTTTGACTATGATCATTACCTCCAAAGATCCTAAAAATAGCGTTCGTTACTTAGGAATTTAGATCTTCTTACTTTTTAATACCATTTATATTAACAAACAAATCTCAGATGAATTTCGTAATGCTGTTACCATTATAAAGAACAAAAGACTTATAAATACTCACTTATGTTACATCTATAATACCTGGTTTACTCCCACGAATAGAATACAGGATTTAACTCACCTTTATTAATAGTGCTATTTGTAGAAGATATTTCGCTACCTATCTTATATTCGTGAAAAGAAAATTAAAGTTTTCTCAGAAGACTTCTACTACTATCTTTAACTCGCAATTAGGTTATAATATGACACTCTCTATCAAAGGATCTTATAGAATACAGTGAGTATACTTACATAAATTGTTAATAAAGAAAACATGTCAGCATGTTCTTCTATATTTGAGTCAGTACAAACACAAATTAATGAATGGCTCTTTAAAAGCTTCTTAGTATACTGGTTATATAACAAACTGAGGAATATTGATTCATAGCTTCCTGCTTTCCTTTGTGCAATAAAAATAGTTAATTTAATTTTAAACATTTTCACTGCTTATCATAATATTATTTCAAAAGATTTCTCGTTAATTTAAGAGTTAATTCCTAAGTCATATAGATCTCTCAGAAAGAGCCTAAGGAAATTTTCAGTTTTATTTATTAATCAACTTACCAACTACTATGGCAGTTATATGTTTACCTTTAGAGATTTCAAGAAACTCACCAGTCACATTTTAATCAGTTATACTAAACCTACCTAGTATTATACACTAGAAGACAAATTACAACTGAAGAGTAGTTATTTTCTCTTCCAGTAAATTACTTATAAACATAACTTATAGCATAGCTATGAGGTTCTACAGTCCTCATTAGATATTAATGCTTAGTATTTTAACTTGATTTGGAATTATTAGTATAACTTATTTTTAATCACAAAATCATTGACATCGTTGACAACTATTACTATATGATTCACTATACAACCATCAAAGATAATGAGCATAAAATACATTTATTTATTGCAATAACTGTTACTTACATACCTTTTATGTTAGAAATACTAATAATACACCGCATTTCATAGTTGTCTTACCTGTTAACTTAGGTGTCTCTATCTTTGTCAGATATAATCAAGAGTTCTATAGCTCTTTGATTTACCCTTCTGTCACTAGGTGTCCTTAATAAACTAGCTCTTATACAGTTCAACTCAATTTATTATTCATCCTTACTTCTCCCCCCTCATCCTTTTATACCTCTTTATTCTCCAATTTTATAGATAAGTATATACTTCCTCTCATAATATATGATTACTAACTATTGCATAATCTTTTAGTACCTCTCTTAATTTAGATTTTTATACTAATAGTTTGCTTATCAATATTAATCTGCCTTCTGTCAGAATAGGCCTGGCTTAGCTACAAACACATCAAAGTTTTCCTCTGATTTCCTTTGCATTAGCTTTATCTACAATGTTTTCCTTATCTTCATTACCTAAGTTCACTGCAATTTTTATAGTAATTTTAGTAGCCTCACACAGTTGTTCAATAAAGATATTCACTGACTCTGCTACTTGTATATCACAGTTCAGACAATATTAGCATCTTATAGATAAATCCTCAACATTTAGACCTTTTCTTAAAATTAATAACTACATGAATTGAAACTATTTTTTTGAAGTAATGTTTTATCAGAACTTCTCAATTAAAATGATCAAGATCAAAGCATACTCTAAGGATCATTTTAATGATATAGTTAACACTCTAGCAAAAAATTGCCTGGACTCTACTACTCTCAGTATTGCTTCATCCTATTTCCTAAAATGTTTCATTTAATATGATAATAATCCAGTCTCACCTCTAATTAGACAATTTATTAAAGAACAATTCAAAGTGACTTCTGCCTTCAATTTGATCAATCTGAATGTTCTCTTCAAATATAATACAAGTTATCATTTCTTATAGGATGTAATTGCATTCATTATTAATGATAATTTTACGTCTAGATGCACCTTATATGTTGCCTCTTCTGTTAAAAAAAAGAAATTCCTTTAGTTGCTAGAAATGCTTTCTACACTGAAAATACTTAAACTGAGGCATCTTACTATTTACCTTGCATCATCTTTATACTCATGTTGTAATGCAGATAATAAAGATTTTATCATATTTAGCTTTATCTAATGATTCACTTTGAAATAAAAGACATTATCTATCAATCTAAAGACTATCTAAAATTAATTACTAACTCTGGTACTTTTGAAATAGAATAACTTATATGTTAAGACCTCTCATATTATAACTATTAGTCATTTTTAGTTCTTATTAAAGGCATTGTTACAGAATATCTTTTCAAATTCATTCAAGAAAAATTAAACAGCTGCCCTCTCACTTTTGCAGCTACCTTATCATTCTTACACTTAGTGTTTAAACTGACTCAGAAAATATAGAATAATCACTGTATTATTTAAACTGACAAAGAGAAAGTAGAAAATATTATACTTAACCTAAAAATAGAATCAACATCATCTACTGGCTATGTTTTTTCCTTCACTAATATTTCTTATTATCTACAACCTACTCCAATAACCATGATGGACTACCTTAGATCCTACTGGTCAAATTTTTGGTATTGTAGTAGCTAAACCCTTTTTTGTTTCTTTTTTTTTATTTTTCTAAAAAGTGATAGACTTAATTTAGGTTAGATTTTGATTTTGGGAAAGTGCAGGATCAGTCTTCTATAGATTAATCATAGATTAGTTTGTATAAGATTTTCATAATTTTTTTAAATATATATTTTATTTTAGATAGAATTATTATATTTCAATAAAGATTTTGTAGAACTACCATACTTTAAAAAAAAAAAAATTTTTTAAACAATAAATTTTAATATATCAGCTATATATAATTTGATTAGTTGACCTGTCAGGTCAGATTTATCTGATCTGACCCAATCTGATTTAAAAAAGAAAAATTTTCATATTTACTCATTAAATAATATCAAAAAATATTTAATATAAATAATAATATAATAAACAATTATTAATTTATTTAATCAACTCTATTATTTCTAATTTAACAATAATAAATCATTCTTCTTAAATAATTGGTTAACCTAAATTTTTATCAGATCAGATCAGATCGGGTTGACCTGTTGACCTAACCTGATATTAATCTGAAAATCTATTGACCTGACCTAAATTTTCAGATCAGATCAAGTCAGATAAATAGATCAATCTGACCTAATTCGAGACTTTAGTAGAATCTAATTTTTCATTTTGAATATATGCTAGTATTATGTATTTAAGAATTTTTTAATACTATGATAAGCATCTTTTTTAATTATACTAATAACTTGTTTAATAATTAATGGATCAGTTATATCAGGTTCTTTTAAAGGATTAGGTGTAATAACAGAGTTTAGATTAATAAAATTAATTGGTATTAATTCTTTCATATATATATCAATTTTCTGGCAAGTTTGAAAAACAGTATATTCTTGTGATAATTTTGATTCTAAAACTACAAAATAGTAATACATATTACGTGAAACATTTTTTATATCTTATATATAAACTATTAACTATATTTTTTTTTTCTTATTAGGACCTTCTTTTCTAAATGACAAATAAAATCTCTTATTTTTTACAGTAAATTCTAAAGCTTTTAAAATAATATAATCTTTAAGATTCTAAAGTCTTTAGTTAAATTTTTAAAATTTATTTGAACACTTTTTGCAAAACCTTTAGCATATTTAATTTGAGCTGATTTATTCAAATTTTCATAAAATTTCAATATCTATAATTTTTCTTTATAACTTTTATCAATACATTTTAATTGAAATCTAAAGAGATAAATTTTAAAAATAACAGTTCTTTTATTTGGTGTTATTATCTAATAAAATAATATATGTATTAAAATATTACCTTTTATGATTTTTTTAAAATAATAAAAATATAATAACTTACTTATATAATTTAACAGAAGTATTAAATAGAGATTAAGCTAATATGATTTAATATTATAAATTATCTTCAAAATAAATCAAATAATGTGGTTTTCTTCTATATAATATATAAAGCATTAAATAATATAACAATTATTAGCCCAACTCTAAGTAGTTTTAATAATATAATTATCAGGTATAGAAAAATAATTAGATGCTTTAGTAAATTTCAATTATGCAACTAGTAAGTAGATATCTTCTTAAATAATAATATAAATAAATTTTTAGTTATTGGTAATATGTTATTTTAGGTAAAGTAAGATAGTTTTCCTACTTGTAAGGTTTTCTTTACTATCAGACTCATTTTTTTTTGATAGTATTTTATAATTATTATACTATATATACAATTAGGATATTAATATAATAATATATATTATTATATATGTTGGAATAGTTATTAATAAGGTTTTTGACAAATTTTGATTATAACATTAATAGTATACATAATACAGAATGATAAATCTTAAGTATTACATGATTACTTTTATATATCAAATCAGATAAATAATTGTTTTAACATTACATATTATATGTTAATATTGATAACAATAAGCTATTTAGCAAATTCAAATTATGTTATTTATTAAAAAAGGTAATTATTATACATTACATAATATTTTTTGAATAAATGTTATTTTAATGCATTACATAAGCATTCTGTTAATGTATTATGATATCCATTTAATAATTATATTACATATAAAAATTTGTATTTGTATATTGCTAAATATATCATAAATAAAAAATATGTTCATCATCTTTATCTGTGTGATCTACGTATACAACGTCTTAGTAAAGCCAATGCTGATATATTAATTTGATTGGCAGCATTCTTTTAGGTTAAATTTGGAATAGTCAAATCACTAGTTAAATGATCTAATTCCTTTACTTGTTGTAATATATGATGGTTATTCACATTATGGTTGGTTAAATGTGAAACTTCAAGTGTCAAATGTAACATAAATGCCTTCTTTAAAAGTGTCTTTAAAGTATTGATGATAGTTACATTATTGAATAATTCATCTTCTTTGATAATGGCTAATTGAGTAAAGAAAATATCTTTAAGAAAAGCATCATTTACAAATGATGTTATATCATCTTCACTTGGTATTTCATTGGTACTTGAAATGCTATTTAAAGATAACTTACAATAATATTTTATAAAAATAACTTACTTATTAATTTTTACATATTCTTTCACGTAAAAGTTAAGATCATTATTGAATTGTGAACGGTATTGTGCTAAGTATTCCAATCTGCATCCTTTTAAAAATTTAATATTTTCATTATTTTTTCCCTAATCAGGTAATAGAATCTTTACAACAGCTGCAACTGCAGCTGAACCAGGATTTTGACTTTGTATAAACATAACTTTCATCTCTTTACACATATCAGAAACATGTTCACTAGTGACCTAAAATCAAACGGTTAGATAATTTTAATCATATAACATATTATAAATAAATTTACCTCTCTGTTAGATACAGGTTGAGATTCAGTTAGCGATATCAGTATTGTTGTAGGGGTAGAGCCGAATGAAAGGTGATGACTTTGGTTTATATGTAATACCTGATGAGAAATATTATCATCTTGATCATCATTATCATAATGATGTTTACTATGTCATACTTGATTGGAAACCCCATAAGAACGAATTTGATCATTACTATTGGCTGAATATAATTCCATATGATTATTCTTTTTAGTATTCAGATTATAATAATCTTTAAAGGGTCGTCTAGTATTAAATTGTCTAGGCGATGACCTAAGATCAAGACCAAATTGTCTGTGACCTCGTTTATGACCTTTGTTAATTGGCTTAAATAATAAATGACTTGTACAATCAATATTAACATGATCATCTTGGATGTTTGATAATGATCGATTGGTTCGTTAATCATCTTAGATATTTGATGATGATTGATTAGTTCATTATTCATCTTGGATGTTTAATGATCGATTGATTCATTGTTCATCTTAGATGTTTAATAATCGATTGGTTCGTTATTCATCTTGGATGTTTAATGATCGATTGGTTCATTGTTCATCTTGGATGTTTAATGATTGATTGATTCATTATTCATCTTGGATGTTTAATAATCGATTAGTTTGTTGTTCATCTTGGATGTTTAATAATCGATTAGTTTGTTGTTCATCTTGGATGTTTGACAATAATTGATTGATTTGATCAATAGTATCTTCATTTTGATTACAAATTCTTCCTTTTGAAAGTAATGATCTAAGAATTCATTCTAGATCGTTATTATCATTTTTAATCTTTTTATTAGTAATTAATGATGAAATAGAATCATGTTTCGAATCATCATCAGAGTTATAGTTCTCTTTTGCAAAAGGCTTAGTAGAAAATGATAATAATTTAAGTTGATCATCTTGTCGAATATTGGTAACTTTAGACACTATTGCATCATTATCATCATCATTATCAGAGATCTCTTATATCTGAGAAACATCCTGTTGAATATTGACATTTTTAGACAATACTTGATTATCTTGAACATTATTAAATAAAACTATAAGTTTTACTTCTAATGAATTAAATCTTTTATCAAAACATTTCAAAGACTTACCAGGAATTTTTGTATTGGTTTTTTGAATAGTTTTTTGATTAGCACGCAGTTTAGCTGTCTTGGGTGCTGACGCTTTTCTTTTTTTTATCATTTGCTTCTTTTGTTCGACCTGAAAAAAAAAACATATTTATAAGAAATAATTTTAAGAGAAAGTTTGTTGTATTTAAATGGTGGAGATCATAATACAAGACAGTATTTATAAATTCAAAACAGGTTTTTTTTATAGAAATACCAATCATCACATGTGATATCAAATATAGTAAATATAATCATTGTATAACATCATTCATGTCAAAAAAGATGTTAGTAAAACTTTTTTTTTAAAAAAAGAATTACTAATTTTTATTTTTTTTCAATATGATTAAAAATACACGTAAAACAATTCAAGTAGCAAATTTACGGCAAGTAATTCATCCAAAAATCGGTAAAAGGTTAACCTTTAAAAATCGTTCAACAAACTCTGGATACAAATATTAATACATGTACTTGAAGTAACTTTGTTAAATTTTCTTTATCTCGACTTAACTTTATTAATGATGAAAGTTTTGATTTGATTTTACAATAAGAGAGGAATAATATTGTAACACCTGATAATATACAAATGCTATGCATGACCTTTTTACGGATGATTTATATATAAATGAGGATAGTATTAATGAAGATGAACAAGAGAATAGTGTTAATGAAGACGAACAAGAAAACCATTCATTGGAATCTAATCATGATACAGATAGTAGTAAAGATGAGATTTCTTTTGAATTCAACAATCAATACGATGGGTCACAAAACATACCTGCTTATCTTGGTGATGCTAGACCTAACTTTTCTAATAAAACGGTGATAATAATGTTCATTTGGTATACAAAACACATGATAGGTAACAATAAATCGTGCTGTTTTAGAATATTTACATTTTTTTTAATAATTATCTTATTCAATAAATCAACAGGATCTCACGCATATCAAGACCTAGCAAAAATCTTGCAAAATCCAGAATTTTGCGTATTTGATCTTTCTCTCAGTATTATAACATTAAAATGAATGTGACGTGATCTGCCATTGATGACTCTCAATAGCCATAATGTTAAAATTAATCCAATAGATACCCTGTCTACTTATAATTCTCATAAAGAAGGATATACCTTTTTATTCTCAATCACCTCCAACGTATTCTTAATAATCCATCTATTTATTCAAAATTATACTTTGGTTCTGATGTCAAGACTTCAGAAAGGTTAGAATTATGACATAGACAAATATGAAAAGAGTCACCAATGTTTGGTGAAATATTATACAGAATTGAAAAGGTAATATTTATAGTTTATATTTAACGCTGTGATTAAACTCAAAAAATATTTATCATTATTTCTTTAGTACTTTATCAAGCCAGAGATTTTGTGATCTATCGTGTTCAAGAGGAAACAACCGTATATCAACAATTGAAACAAGTCAATGGTATTATAATACCTAAAGAGAATAGTAACGAAAAATTATTATACATTCAAAAGATTTTATATTACGTGAATCTTCCAGGTAATATAAAATCGATTAATCGTCTAAAACAATCTCAAAACAACACTGTTTGGTTAACTGAAAAATGAAAAACAATTCAAATTAATGATGTGATTAGTCATATTAATATCTGGCTCAAGGATTCAATGGAACCTGAGAATTATGATTATCGAATTAGAGAAATTCTATATACTCAAAACAATCAACCAAAAATAAGACGTATATATCAACAATATCAATTACCATATTGATACAATTTTCAGAATCCACCTAATCTTCGCCATTTGAAGTTCTTCATAGATTTATATTACGATGATTTTAATGCATTTGGTAAAGCATATTATAAGCTAGACAGATTATATGTATAAATTGGAAACATGTCACTTTGATACGACAGCATTTTAAAAATCATTTCTTGGTTGATCTTGTTCTGTTTGATGCGAAAATTGAGAACTTTATTAAACCTTTTATTTGTCAAATGCAGAAGTTGCAGGATGGAATAATTATAACTAATTGTAATGGTGAAAGAATATTTGTTTCTGAAGGTCTTGGTATGTGTACTGCCGATTTGCCATAAGGCAATGATTTGACAGGAGTTTGACAACATAATGCAGATCGAGGATGCCATTCATGTGAAGTAACATAGAGAGAACTTAATAATTTTTATTTTGATATTCAAATAAACGGTAGATATTGTCATATTACAGATTTACAGTTTCAAAAAATCAAACAAGCACCTACAAAGTCTGCTAAAGAAAATATGGCTAAACAGT